AGAACTCATCATACAGTTTACCTTTGCCAATTTGATATGTCCAATCTATATGAAGAATAAAATCACCTATGATAATTATGGTTACTTTCTTACAAGCCCCCATTTTTTTCTTGATGTAATCATTGTCCTGCAGTGTAGCTATTGCCAGGGACCCTACTATTAGTGTGTAATTGTGCTCCTAATGGTCAATTAGCAAATATTGGCCATCAAATAAAAATTGCTGGTCCATTCTAACGGTATATATAGTTTGCCTCAACTTGTTACTCAAACTGCTGAGCATGACAGTTCATACACATATGCTGGAATCCCTGAATTGCTGCCCAGACTATTCCTTATTCATATCAATAAAAGACTGAGTTACATAAAATGAATAGAGGAACACAATAGGTTGAATTAATTCACTTTTTACAAAGATGTTCAACAATTTACTTAATTAGTGATATCAAGTAGAACAATTTGCCAGCTCTTTAACATAGAAAAGGGAGTGTCTTCTAACTCGTGCAACTTATACACTTTCAAGAAGATCATGAACAATGAAACTTCCTGGTTTCAGATGTATTCTATGGTGACATTATTGAGCTCAAGATCCACACCTCTTGCCAATTTGGGCTCAGATGTTACTTGTTAATGAATTTGAAAATCAATGCACAATTGCCATTCTTGGAAAATTCCCAATCTAGTAAAGACAGTGTGTCTAATTTCTAAAAATGGATTTCAATAACACGAATTTAGGCTGTTATCTCTTATTCATTTTTCACAACAGGATAATGAAATATAATTATGCTGTAAAAGTCCTCTGAGGTAATTGTTGCCTGCTATGATGAGGTTGTCAGTAATATTACCATAATAGATACATTTCTAACTATTTTCTCTATAGAGAGTAAAGACAAGTATTTAGATTCAAGATGTCTACTCAGTTGTACACCCACAAATCTTAACTGTCATGTGTGGATCTCTGTCGTGCTGTTAACCTAGTCTGAAGTGTCTCTGGAGGAGAGCTTGTTAGCAGATAACATAAAAATGCCCGTTTGTCAGAAAATAAATGAGTCCACATTAAAAACACATCTGTTATCCATTTGATGAAGTCAGTGAGTTTATTCACCACAGTAGAGCACATACAGACATGATATAGATGAATTGAGACACCAGTGACTTATTCAGTTGGTCACAGTGTGACATATCCAGCTGGTGTTTTGTTTGTTTACAGCATATTTTTAACTATTGATTGTGTGCGTATTCTTCCATTGTGTAGTGAAGCTGCATTGATTGGAGATGACTTATGACATATCATCTCAAGAAAGTGCGTCATAATGCTGTGTTGCACCCCTCTAATTTCTGTCTTTCCTGATGTGCTACAATTGAAAATAATGTCCTATGTATCTATTTATTTCACAACTTTTCCAAAATTGATACAGTCAGTATATGAATTATAATATGTAAATTCTACAGTGGAGTAGTAGTCTTGGAACGAACCTCATTACCAAAACAAAATCATTGATAGAATGATAGATCACAGAACAAGAGCATCTGCCCATTTTATCTGTGCCAGCTCCTTGGTAGAGTGGTCCAATGAATCATACATCCCAGCTCTGAATTTGCTTCTATCGTGTTTTCAAGCAGTGCTTGCTCGATCACAATAACTCACTTTATTGAAGAAAAAGTGTACTACCCTCTGGTTCTTTTACTAATCACCTGAAATTTTTCTCCACTGGTTACTGATCCTTCTACCATTGGAAACAGAGTAAATAAGAGATAAAGATCAAAATTCTCTATGATTTTAAATAATTCTATTCGTACCCTGTTAACTTTCTGTGCTTTCAGGAAAACAGCCAAAGCTTCTCCACTGTCTCTATGAAACTGAAGTCTTTCACCCATGGATAATTCCAAAACAGTTTCTTTGTTCTCTCCAAGACCTTGACTTGCTTCCCAAAAGGTGTTGTCCAGAATTGAACACAATGGGTAGATTTTGGCTGTCAAGGCCTGAGGGGTTTGAATGCTTGAGCGCCAAATATACAACATGACCCCACGCACTTCTAGGGTCAACTGGGATGCATCTGTAAGTGAGGATCTGATAAGTAATTTGAATGTGGAAGTGGGCAACTAGTTATGAATTTGACCCAGGATTCTAGTTTTAACAGATAATGAACTGATTTCCCAAGGTGCATGAAGTTTAAAGGATCAGTAAGGACAGAACACAGTGGGGGTCAATTATTCTGAAGTGTGCACAGCTTCTGGGCTGTCAGTGTGAAAGATTTCTGCTCAGAAAATTTGAACAACGAGCCAGAACTCATGATTCACAGGTGCTTTCCAACTTATTAAAGTAATTGCAGTAAGGTGACTTTCCTCACCTTGATCTGACCTCCCATGCTTCAGGCTTCATTACATGTAAAAGCAGCTTACCCAGTTGCCCTTGAGTGGACTTCCAAAGGGCAGAATAAAGAGAGATGGAAACACAACTCAAAGGAGGCAAGACCCCCAACAGAGGATCTACAGGCATAGGATCAGTATCTTCAACATCTAGTAGTAACAGTGCCTGAGGGAGCTCAAACCTTCATGGCAGGTCATTGCTGAGTCAGCAGTCTCTGGGAACATGATGTCCGTTAGTATGGACACAGTGGGTGTGCAATGTAAGGGGTGAGTATTACTGGAGATATACAAGTCCCTGATTTTTTTTATTTGTTCACAGGACTTGGACATCGCTCGCCCAGCCACTTCTTACTGCCCGTCCCTAATTTCCCTGAGGGCAGTTGATAGTCAACCACATTACTGTGTTCTGGAGTCACATGTAGGCTAGACTGGGCAAGGATGGTAGATTTCCCTCATTAAAAGACATTAGTGAACCAGATGGGTTCTTCCAGAAAATCAGCAACTTTTGTACAATCATTTTTAGACGCTTAACCTGAGATTTTTAGTGAATTCAAATTCCATCATTTGCCATGGTGGGATTTGGACCTGGCGTCCCAGAACATTACCTGTGTCTCTACATTAATAGTGGAGTAATGTTATGCCTAATAGCCCTCTGAGGCCTAGCCATTGTATTGTAAAGGTTTAGAATACATTTCCTACTTTTGGACTCTCTTGGACAATCCAACTTTCAGCACAACTATGTCCATTATGGTATCGGATCGCCTTCTATCTGGCATTTTAAATAACAACAAGTCTTTCTTGGGAATGGTTTTTTACGCTTGGGTTTGACTTCTGGTTGACTGCTTAGGATACTGGAAGAAGAGCAGCTTATGATCCTACTTGTGAAATGATTGACAATGAGACAACACAGATTTAAAGAAGCAGAAGTGACATGAGCAAAAAGAAAAATCCTGCAAATAGTAATTAGGATCTGGAATGCATTTCCTGAGAGAGTTTGGATGTTGTTTCTGTTGAAGCATTTTTGTGTGCCACCCCTCATATTGATTTGGAAAGACATTTATTTCCTGAAAGCTATTGCATAATAAGGTTTGAACCAGAGAAAGTCCAGTTAACCAGAATGTAACAACATAAAACAACCTTGACCTGTGTGAACTTATTTTTTTTGGATTTTGGAGCCCATTTGTGATGATGCTGAGCTATTACACAATCAGTGACACATTTTTGCAAATTTATTCTCTTTGGATGCTGTCACTGTGATGCTGACTGGTGCTGTCTCCATTCTGCTCCTCCTGTATGTTAATGCTGCATCTAAATCTTATTGCATCATCAACAATTCATCCAGAAATCTGACCTCTTGTTGCGATCAGAAATCTTAGGCTTCATTAATAAGGGATAGGGCACAAGAGCAAGGAAGTTGTGTTGGTTATTTGATCTCCAACACTATCTCTGTCTTAGCAATGAGTTCAGCAATATCAGGCCATCAACTCTTGTCCATCACAAACAAAAACAGAAATTGCTGGAAAAGCTCAGCAGGTCTGGCAGCATCTGTGGAGGGAAATCAGTGTCCAGTGACCCTTCCTAAGAACTTGTCCATCATCTGTCCCCATTCTGTTCCACTTGCTCCTTCTTACCTTTTGCAACAGTGTAAAACCAATTTCTTCAGTTCTAAAGAAGGCATGTTGAACTCAGAATGTTAATTCTATTTCTGCCTGTAGTGATGCCACCAGGCCTGCTGAGTATTTCCAGCACTTCCCTTGCCATTTCAGATTTGCAGCATCTGCATTGCTCAGCTTTTGTTTCAGAAGTTTTGCTGAACTTTAATTAAAATTGGTTTGGCCTGAATTTAAGAAAAGATAGCTCCGAGGAGATTTGATAGAGGTATTCAAAATCATGAGGGTTCCAGATTGGGACAAATTGATCCCACTTGTGAAAGAATTGAGAAGGAAGGTACACATTTAAAGAAGCAGAAGTGACATGAGAAAAAAAATCCTGCCGCAAGTAATTAGGGTCTGGAATAACATCCTGCGAGTGTGTGGATGTTGTCTCAGTTGAAGCATTCAAGAGGAAGTTAGACTGTTACCTGAATAACGGTGAATGTGCTGGGTTAAGGGGAGAAAGCAGGTAAATGGCACCAAGTGAATTGCACATTTGGAGAGCCAGCACAGGCACAGTGGAACAAATGACATCAGCACAGCAGGCTTCTGTGATATGCTCATTTTTATAGCACTAACACTATTTTCTACTGATTCATTGATTGCTGGTCCTTCGGCCAGTAACAGCCTCTTCCTTGTCAACTTTGCCTCAACACTGCCCATCTTTTAATAGCCTTCCAAACACCTTTCCATTTAACTGAGCTTGCTTCTTCTTCTAAGATATCTCTTTGCGGAGGAGGAGTGCGAGACAAATCTGGAGTGTTAACTTGGCAATTATTGTCCATGTCCAAAAACAGCACACAAACAGCCATCAGATATATTAACTGCTGCTGATAGAAATCTCCATCTGCAGGCGGCTTTCTGTTCACAGGGTGGCCAGGAACAATGAAGCAGAGCAGCTTCATGTCTGCAAAGGAAACTTGCCTGTTTCTCTCTCTCTCCACTGATTGGACGCCTGATTCTGTATGCTTTGTCTTTCAGGTAATTCTCTATCCAACTCCAAATAGTCCGAAGACACCAGAATGGCACAAGATGGTCATTCCCAAAAATAGCCAAGATTCAGATTTAAAAATAAGACTAGCTGTGAGGATGGATAAACCTCCAAACATGAAGCACTGTGGGTAAGTCTGGAACATTGAGAGTACTTCTGACAAGTTGCGATTAAAGCTGTATATGTTATGATCGGCATCCAGTCAATAGCTGTCAAAGTCAGCACTTCCTTTTTGCAGCTCAGGGCAGTGGATTTCAAAGTGTCGTCCACAGATCATTGATCCTTGAGAGTCCTCCAGGTGGTCTGCAGGCTACTGTGAAATCTAAGTCTCTAACACACAACGCCATGACTAAAACCAAGTGAGAGAACAGCCCAGACCCCTCATCCTCCCCTAGGCTGATAAATTTATTACATTTATTTGTGAAAAAATTGCAACCAATTTACAGTTTCCCAACTCTGACCATGCTTACTGTAATTGTGCTTACCATTGCAATGGGGAGGATTGTAGAATCATCTATCGAAATTACAGAGAGAAATTTTTATTTCATTAATAACACAGATATGTGTGGACTAAAAGAACATTCAAAAGTTCTCATCCAAGAAAAAGGAGTGACTTTTTGGATGGGAGTCTTTCCTGGTTGTGCTAAGAAAATCATAGGAGCAGTCTGATTACACAAAGTAACTGTGCATGAACTATCACCAGTAAATCCTAACCAAAAATGTCAATGTGACACTTGTTCGTTCCCAATCAGATTGTACTTGATACCAGCAGTTAATCTCTCAGTGGTTTCGCCTGGGGTACATGGTGGGAATTTAAAAAGAGCAAATATTGCCTACAAGTGCCATAGACATGAGTGAGCAGTATGCCCAGTTTAAGATTGCAGGTTAGAATTGAAGCAACTATGGAGCGTGTAGTTATAAATTTCGGTTTTTAAAGTAGTCATTGCTAGTGAATATTTTAAAAATATAGTTCTGAATGAACCAATGTGTTGTTGAATGTTTCTCAGTGTGAGCCAAAATTTATTAAGTGTAGGCATTAATGAAGGTGTTATGAAGAGCAGGCATAGTGCTGGATTTTAGTCCAACATGGAAAGAAGACAATTGATTTGGAATCTTATTATTGTGTCTACTCATTATAATTTTAAACAAGGTTTCTCTTTGGAATTAAGAGTCTTACATTCCCGTCGTTGTTCGATGTGGTATTGTATCTCATTCTGGGCAGTGCGATCCTGCTCCAATCCGAGTACTTTACCAATTCTAATCAGAACCAGGTTCCCAGTCCCCAACTTTTCTTTGCATCTGCTCACAGTCTCACACTCCCATCACTTGGATTCTCAGCCTTCCACCCCTTTTTTCAAGTTCCTGATTTCTCCTCCTTCCCTCTCTCAGATGTGGAGTCTTTTTGTTGCATTTGCCTTCAGTCTGTTGACCTCCGGCTTTGTCTAGGGGCGGTGGTGGCACTGCATGGAACAGTCTGAATAAACATTTTTAAGTTTGTTGAAGATAGGAGAAAGGCAGAAGACAATATGAGAAGCGTTTACTGAGTGCATTTTGTATTCATTTCTGCGACTAAATTAATCAATGCACTACTTTTGCGTGGAATGAGCTACACAGTCCAAGAGGTCCAGGGCTTAATCCTTTTTCTTACTGAATGTAATTTCACCTCTGATGCAAGTGCAGGAAACATAATTTCTTTTTCATTCAAAACTGTTCAGCTACCTCAGTGTATGCCTTATTTTACACTGTTTCATTTCGTCCCTGCCCTTACTTTGTATTGTGGAGAATATTCAAGGATCTTTTCCAGTTACCTTCTCCATTCAACCTTGAAGAATTGGCCTTGCATGACTTTGAACAAGGTTCTTTAAGAGCCTTTCGATTCCCTTCTTTGTGATATTTCTGTGCATTTATTTGTATGGTGTTATTGATTAGTTTACTAGAAGTTTGCAGAAATAATATTACAGTTAGAAACTTATCAGGCTGGTAGAAAATCACTGCAGATTAGGCAGGTACTTAAGTAATTTGAAAGTGTAGTCACTGTGCAATGTAGGAAAGACAACACCTGAGTGGCACACAGTGGGGCCCACAAGCAGCATAAGGTCATGGATAGCTATTAAGTCCACTGAGCCTATTCTGTTGTTTGAGATCTTTGTTTTTCTGTGGTCTAACTCTGTGTTCCTGCCATTGATCCAGATCTCTTGAATATCTTCAGTTATCAGAAATCTATCAATCTTAAATGCACCAGCTACCATGAGTGGAAGAAAGTTTCACACTTTCCACTCTCTAAACATAAAAGTATTTCCTAATTTTGCTGCTTGGTCTCACAGACATCTGTGCCTTCATCACTGAAACCTCACATCTTGTAGCACTGGTCATTTAGCCATGTCAGTTGTGCTGCTCAAGCCACTATAACCTTGAGCTTCTTTGCTTCACGTTCCTTCCAAAGATCAGCTGTAAACTTTTATTGGCACCTCCAAAATGGCTGTACTCTATTGTATGTTAAGTGATGCCCTCGTTGCCAGAGCTGAATAGCATACTCATTTAATGACAGTGGAGACAGGCACATTGGACTTTTTCTGCCATTGCTGGATTGCCTCAAATGCGGAGCAACAATAATTGAAACCAATGACTGCCTAGTAAGATACTTTTGCAGGAATGTCTTCTCCACACTCAATATCCTACCTTAACTTCAACCATAAAAGAGCTTCCTCTATGTATAAGCTTGCTTTCCTGTTGTTTACCATGTCTCTTGACAGTTTTGACTGCATTAGGCTTTAACTGCAAAGGCATGAGGATGAATACTAGAGGTGAAAGAGATGATCACTCACCCCTCTATTGGAGTCCCAGCCAGAAGCTGAAGTGAAAGCAAAAATGCCAACTGCTCAGTGAGACCAATATTGAACAGGTCACCAGACTTCTGAAAATATGAGAAACTATCAGATGCCAAACCCGCTTGCAAGGAGAAGCAGGTGCAAGAGGTAAAAGAGAAGAAATTGGAGGTAAACAGAGATGAAACTGTCCAGAGGGGTGGTGATCCACAGCTGCACAATGAGCTGGCCTCCTCCTACAAACCTCTGGGATGAAAACCTCCCTCTTCTCACTCACAGCGCCCAACATTAAATCCAGGTCAGCATTGATGAAGCGGGGGTCTTTAACTTCTCATCTTGAGCATCCCTACAGTGTCATCTCACTTTCTGATGGTGAAATGGAAGGCTTTAGTAAAAACCATAGATGTCTCCCTCAGAACAGCCTTTAGCCTTATTGGTGGTTGCCCTGGGGTGTCTACACAAGCCCCATTCATCATTTGACCCACTTCCATGTCCATTTCTACTGGTTGTAAGTCAGCAGAAACCCATCTTCATCTCAATTAAAGGCCCATCCCCTTGAAAATCAGAACTTTAATCAGTTTTCTGTTGGAAACAAGTTTCTGACCCTAAAACAGACCTGGTTTCTGTTTAACAAACTCCAACATGAAACTACAGCCGAGGTCTTTTTATCACTGTAGTGTGGGTTGTAACAACATGACAATGACCACATTCTCTTTTCTTCTGAGGTTGCTTAAGGGAAAAGCATTGGCCAGGATACCAGGGGAAGCTTCCCAGCTCCTCTTCAGGATAGTGCCACAGGTTTTTGTACATCCACTTGAGAGATCCGACAAGACCTCATTTTTAATGTCTTACCTGAGAGTCTGCAATGCTTCACTCTTTTATTACTAGGAACCTGGATGGTGTACTTTAGTCTGTTTGAGTTGGGACTTGAACTTACAAACTGACTCAGAGCTGAGAGTATGAGTTTTGGTGTAAGGTCAGGTTCTACCTTAGCCAATTAATACACGTTGGCAGCTATAGACCCGTAAGTCACAGAGTATGAACTTTGGTGTTAAGGGATAGATTTTCTTAAGACGTCAGATTAATGAAATGAGAAAACAAGGCCTCTGATGATCATATTTATTTCCTGTTCCACCCTTTCTGGTACTGCTGCTGCTGTCCTCATCCAATATATGCAAAAAGTAGAAGGAAGATGGTGCCTAATTTTTGTGTGTATTTTACTCTAACATGTTCTTTCTGCATTCTCCTCCAACTTACAGCTGACTGTGGGATCATCATGTGAGGCATTGCAGTAGTTCTTAGGATTGTGGTGAGGAAGCCTGTGTATGTCTTAAGTCTTACATCCATTAGCTGATTACATACCTGCTGAAGGCCTTGATATTTGCTGAATAAAAACCGAAAGAACTGCGGATGCTGTAAATCAGGACACAA